GCAGCGGCCCGGCACCGGCGCCTTCCCGGCGGGGTAAATATTGGGGGGCCGCGGGCCCGCGGAGGGGCGCAAACCCGGGGGGAAACGGGGCTCCCTCCGCCTCTTTGTTTTTGCGCGAGAGGGCGGGGAGGGGCGGGCGGACACACGCGCGGCCGCGCTGGGCATGGGGGGGCAGCCCGGGCGCCGCCCGCTCGGCCCGGCGAGGACAAAGGCGCGGCTGGGGACGAGGAGGAGGAGGAGGGTGACTATTATTTTGCAGGCTCGCCGGGGGGAGGCCCCCCCAGCCCGGCCCGTCGCCCCCACCCCAACTGGACCCTTCAAGGCCCCAGCTGGCCGCAGCGGCCACCCCGAGCTGTGATTTGGGGACGCTGAGGGCGGGGGTTCGGGACTGGCGTGCCGGGGGCACCCGATACTGTTGATTCGGGCTTCTCGGCCGAACCCCGGGCTTCTGTTCGTTTCCCCGGACAATCGGCCGCGCCCCCCTTCCTCTCCCCGCTTGGGAGCTGGGGAGCTGGGGGTCAGCAAGGCTGCTCCCGCATTGGATGGGGACGCCGGGGGCCCCGAGGTGATGGGGTGTGTGGTCACCCAGCCACTGATTCTGTTTTCCTTTGTCGAGAGAAAGAAAGGAGTGGGGGTGATTTATCAGATCGGATTCTCCGGTGTCTCCGTGTGAGAAATCCGTGTTTTGCAAGTCTCTGTGGAACAGAAAACTATGTTTGTGCTGGGTGTCTTGAGCGAGAGGGCTCCCAGGCTCCTCTGCACACCCAAACTCAAAGTGGGGGGAGCCCCCTCCCCAACTCTCCCTTTAGTTCTTTTGCATGTTTTTTCTTGGTGCAGCCTCCCTGGGGAGAAGGATTTGGGGAGAGAGGAACAGGATCAGGAGGGTGCAAGTTGCACCCAGTAGATGCCTGTTTGCGGCTCCTTTGCCTTCGTGTCTAGGATGTCCCTCGGATTTTTATTTTAATGGTCCAGTGACAAGGGCCCTGGCTGGAGGGGGACAGGGAGCTGCCCTGTGCTGTGCTGCTTGGTAGTTTGTCTAATTTTTTTCACCAGCTGAAACTCTGGAATCTCCATGTCCGCCTTTTTTTTTAACTTCGTTTATTCTCTGGCCCCCCATGGGAGAAGCAGCGAAGAACTGGAAAGCCTCTGCCATTCCTGACTCAATCGTTTCTCCTCTCCTCCGGGAGGCTTTTTGGGGGACAGTGCAGGGACAGGGGAGGCTCTCTGTGGCCCCCCGAGTGTGGGAGAGGCCCCGGGGGGGGGTCTAGGTGGCTAGCACAGAGCACCGTCCTTTCCTGCCGGGCTGATGGTTGGCACCCCCTCTTCTCCCCTTCTCTGCCCTCAGCCCAGGGAGTGGGGAGGGGCTGGGGGTCATGTGCGGTGTATTTATGTAAGACACCCAGGCGGAGGGCACAGTATTTATATAACCCGGCATGGGTATTTATGTAATATAGGATGCGGGTGTATTTATGTTCCTTTCCTAACCTTCGGCTTTCCCGGCTGCCATGTGTGGTCTCTGAATTGGCGTTGGTGGAAAACGGACTGGGGGGGTTGTGTTTGTGTGTGTACACACCTGCCCTCCCACCCCACCCCCAGTGGGGCTCACACTGTGTGTCTGCTTTTCTTTCTTCTTTTGGAGTGTACACATAGGACAGTGTGTGGCATGTGAGTTTCCTGCAAATGTGGAGTGTGTTCTGCTGGCAGCCATGGGGCCTCAGCTGGGACCGGCCAGGCGTGTGGGCAGAGGTCCTTGGTTGAGAGCCCGGAGTTTGGCTGGCTCGGGGTGGAGGCAGCTTCCTTGTGGCCATGGGTGAAGGGCTAGTGGCAGCTCCCTGGGAGCTAGATGCTGGGGCTGGATGTCTTCTGGGAGCTGGTGGCTTCTTGCCTCTGCCAAGGTGGGGAGCTCCAGCCTGACCAAATGTGGAATCAGTCTCTCCCCTCCCAGGTGGGTCTGGCTTTTGGGGGTAGTAGCACTTGGCATGGGGAAGGGGCAGAGCCTCTGTGCCTCACACAGTTGCTTTTCCATCTTCCTGTTTTGCCTCCTGGCCCAGGCATGAAATAAATGAGTCCTGTTTGTGAGGGTGGGAGGCCGCCAGGAGGGGCAGCAGGAACCCTCTCTGGGTCCCAGGTGAGGAGACTCTGCCACTACCTTGTGCTAGGTTGTGTGGCCTCTCTGGGCCTGAGGGCCCTGTCTGCAAAGGGAGGCCCCTCTGGGTAGTTTTCTACACTGGCCCTCTTGTAGACACTCTGAGATCTTACGGGTCCCCCGTCCCTCCCCCTGAGTTGAGGAGAAGACCTTTCTCCTGCAAGGCACACTGCAAACTGGCAAGATCTAGCCTCCAATTCTTGGTGCTAGAAGCCTGGGGTGAGGATGGGGGCAGGGGGACCCTGTCATTTCTGAGTCCTAAAGGGGCTGAGGAGGTCCTTAGGGACCCTCCTTTCATCTTGTCCTCCTGTCCCAGGAGGTTGGAACTTGCTGGTGGTTGCCGTGGTGGCACCCCCAGGATAATCAGCTCGTGCATCCCCCCTCCCCATAACCCCCTTTGTCCTTGATTTTCCTTTCAGGATCTTGGCCCATTGTGCCTGGCCTGCCTCTGAGCTCCTATTGGAGGGTCCCCGAATTAGTGCCCCCCCAGATGCTTGCTTCACTGCTTCTTTCCAGGCCTGGTCTACAGTTCCACCTTCTGCCTAGCCATGCAGCCACCTGTTCTAAGCCTGCCTTAGCTCTTCCCCACATGTCGGGGGGCCACCTGACACCTGGTCGCCCTCAGGCAAAGCGAGGCCAAATCTCTTCCTGGACAGTGGGAGGGTGAATGTTGGTGTCCCAAGATCCTTGTGGCTTCACCTGGCCTTTGGTGGGGGAGGAGTGGGGTCCCTCAGCCCAGGCCCCCTTTCCAGCTCCCCGCTTCTCTGACCTCAGTGTGTCTGCTTCCGTTTGCAGCGAGAGTGAACCATGGAGCTACGTGTGGGGAACAAGTACCGCCTGGGACGGAAGATCGGGAGTGGGTCCTTCGGTGATATCTACCTGGGTGAGTGTTCCTGGTTCCGGCTCAGTGGTTCTGGAGCCCCTGGGACAGCCCTGGGGACGAGGAGAAGAGAAGATGCTGGGATTTGGGGCTCTGAAGTCAGAACTTGGTTCTGGGGCTTTGGTGGCATGTTTTGGTCATTTTGTCCCCAGGGCCATCCCAGGTGGCAGGGAAGCAGCAGGTTGGGGGTGAGGCAGGCCAAGGGGCTCCACATCCAGTCCGGGCCGGGTGGGGTTCCCACTTGCTGCGGGCTGTCCAGAGGAGGGTATTTTTAGCTCTGGTTTCCAGCTGCAGATGATCCGGGTCTTTAGCGGGGCGTGGGAGAGCCCAGGCTGGATTTGTACCCCTGTCTCTTGCCCCCCTGGGAGAAGGATGCTAGTGGACCGAAGAGGGCTGGGCTACTGCTTGCTCCCAGCTAGGCCCCCTCCCTGTGGTCCGGCCTCCTGGAATTCAGCCCAGGCGGCCTTCACCATGACGCAGGCTCCCCAGTAACCTCTGCGGGGGGATCTTAGCTTTTAGGATCTCTCTCCAGATGTGCTTCCTGTTGCAAGTCTGAGTTTGCTCTCATGTTGTCATTTTATTTTTTTTTATTTTTTATTTTTTTAAGATTTTATTTATTTATTTTTCCCCAAAGCCCCAGTACATGGTTGTCTGTCATAGCTGCACATCCTTCTAGTTGCTGTATGTGGGACGCGGCCTCAGCATGGCTGGAGGAGTGGTGCCTCGGTGCGCACCCGGGATCCGAACCCGGGCCGCCGGCAGCGGAGCGCACGCACTTAACCACTAAGCCACGGGGCCGGCCCTCATGTTGTCATTTTAAACACATTACTTACATCTCACCCCTGTCCTCGACCCGGGGGAAAAGGGGCTCTTGCCTCCGAATGCCACTTTCTCAGCTGCCTGGAGGGCGTGGTCAGGAGTCCCGGCCTTCCTGTGCACGGGTTGGTCCGGAGGGGATAAGCTGTTGATTGTGAATTGGGGCAAGGTGGCCAGCCCCTGGGGTTTATCCTCATTCCTGTCCTGTGCCCTTGGAACATCTCTGTCTCTGTTTCCCTCTTTGGAAAAGGAAAATAAATCAGTTCTGTCATGGGCAGAGAAAACCGAGAAGTCAGTGTGCCGTGCTCATGATTGGGAACTTGGGGTTTCTCTTACCCAGTGGTCTGGGTCCCTGCCCTCCTAGGGTATGTACTCTGCTTCTCAGAGGAAACAGGGAGGGGGTGTGCACCTTCTCTGAGTGCGCACTTGGTGTCGGGCAGGGCCCTGTTTCAATGGGGTCTCCCCTTACAGCAGCCCCCAGAGGTGGTGCCATACTATCCTCGCTTCACACATCAACACACAGGCAACATGGCCAAGCTGGCCACCCAAGGTTTCTCTTGAAAACTAAAAAAGGCAGCCTTTATACCCACAGCCCTCCACGTGAGTGAGAGAGTGTAGAGGACAGAACCGGGTTCCAGATCTGGCTTTGTGTGGCTGCTCTGTGCCTCAGTGTCCCCATCTTGAGGGTTGGCGTGATGGTGATGCCTGGCTGACCAAGGGCTGTGTTGAGGCACCGATGAAATGGCGCCTGGGAGAGCATCATGTAAACTGTAAAGTGCCTGCCAGATGTGCAGTTCGTTGCTGAGTGCCTAGTAGGTTGCCCTCCTCTGTAAACACCACAAGAGCTCAGAGCAGAGGGAAGGAGCAGTGGAGGCTGGAGCTGTTTTAACGGTTTCCTCTGTGAGTCCGAGCTCCTCCGGGGAGGCCGGCATCAGGTTGTGTCCACCCCAGCGCCCTGCAGGTGGGTGCCCACTGTGGGTGTTTAGTGAAGGCTTCCTGAATGAACCAGTGAGGAAGTGAGGGCTGTAATGTGCAGAGGTCTGTGAAGTGGCCTCACTTAGGGCAGGATAGAAGAAGGTTGCGATTTGGGGGCAGGTCTCCAGTCTACTTCTTGTTTGCTGTGTGTCCTGGGATAAGTCACTTTCTCTCCCTGAGCCTCAGCATTCTCATGTGTGAAATGGGATACCCATCTCCTTAGTGTGTGTGAAGTTAGAGTGGGTGTAAAGAACCCTTTTATCATGGAGGCTCTTGGGCTCAGGGCTGAAGCCTGGAGCCACTGGCTTGAGGGCAAAGGGCATGGAGAGGCAGCTTTTGGCACAGATGCACACCTGCTCCTAGATGGCACCCAGTCCAGGGCCTTCTTTTTGCAGAAGGGAAACTGAGGCCCAGAGAAGGGGAGGGGCAGCCCAAGGTCATTCAGAAAACCAGTGTCCCCAGTCCGTGTGGTGGGACCTCCCTGGGCGCAGGACTTCCTGCTAATCCAGTAGTCATCTAGATCATTTTAAAAATGAGGTCCAGGTCTACTCCTCTTTGTATAGGCTCTGGAGTAAATTCTACCAGGGTTTGGGTGCTGGTGTTTCTTTTACCAGCTGTGTGCCCTTGAGCAAGTGATGACCTCTGCCAGCCTTGGCTTCCCCACCTATGAAATGGGGTCGTGAGTGTGCAAAACATGTGCTCGTGCTGACCCAGCAGGAGTGCTTACGTTGTGTCACCTCCAGCCCTCGATCTCAGTTAGGATTTACTCTGTCAAAGAATCTGGGTCCTCGTGGGCCTGAGTCAGGGTAGGGAGGCAGGTCTCCCCTGCCTGTCCAGCCTTTGCTGGGTAGGCGGGCCTCTGGGGCCCTGGCCTGACGTGGTGTCCTGCCAGCTCCTTCCTGGGCCCCTGTCTTGCTGGTGTGGGGACGGACAGTGGTGACTGGAGGGCCTCCCCGGCTGGCCTTGCTGGCTCCCTTTGTTCACAGTGCTGGCCACATTCTCGTCGCCTGTGCCAGTGCCAGGGCCTGACTCCAGATGGCCTCTGCAGGTGGGCTGGGCGCGGCCTCCAGGCCCTGCTTTCCAGGATCGACCGAAGGCCAGCACGTTGTGGCTGAGGCCACAAGGCCCCTGGCTCCTCTTCGGGTCCCTGCTGCCTCCCCTCAGCAGCATAAGGGGACAAGCCAGGAGAGTGAGACCTGCTTTGTTAGGGCCTTAAGTTGGCTGCACGTGGTCCAGGAGTGGCCAAGCCTGTACCCACTCTAACCCATGGCCGTGCACCATAGGGAACTCTCCAGAGCTCTTAGTCTCTGGTCCTCACTTCTAAATGGGGAGGGAATGGTGCTCCCCAACAGGTGGTGTGGGGGTGCTTCATCCCCTACTTCCAGTCCAGCCAGGTCCCTGATTGTGCATGTGTCTCTGTGGGGGTTGGAGTGAGCCCCTGTGTGAGGTTGGTCACCCCCCTCCCTCCTAGAACTTCCCAGGGTCCCAGACCCTCTAGGGCTGGCCAGATCCAAGCCCTTCTCTCTGTCCCAGTTTGTTTTCCAGACTGGCCGTCCCCCTGTAGGACCACTGTATCTAACTGATGGGCCCCCCTCCACCCTCCCTGCCCTGACACTTGTCACTTAGTCAGAGTATCCTTTATTGCTCCCACTGAAGGTGAGCTGAGCTCCTCCAGGGCAGGGATGCCTCACCTGGTCCAGGGGTCATTGTCTGTTGATTGAGTGAATGAGATGCTAGGGAATTGGAATAGAGAAAAAAGCAGGGGCTTTGGGTCCTAAGTTTCAAATCCTGGCTCTGCCCCAGGCAGTTCTGTGTGACCTCGGGCCAGTTACTTAACCTCTCTGAGTCTCAGCTCAGTAGTTGGAGAATTAAGGGAGATCAGAGAGAAGACTGGCAGCTTCCTGATAGAATTCAGAGGCAGCAAAGGGGTCTGGTGGTGGTGGGACCCATTGGGGGAGGCAGCTGTGGCAGCATTCTGCACTCAGTGTGGGTCAGAAGACTGCCTAACTACTTTACGTCCGTGTCCCTGGGAAATTGTGTGGCACTTAGTCATTGACCTTTGGTGTCTCAGTTTCTACATGTCAAACAGAGATACAAACAGTAGTATCTGCGGGAAATACAGTAGTATTTGCAGGATAGGGTAAGAGTTCAAGGGGCTAAAGGGCTCCTTCTGCCCTCCGCCGCCTCAACTCGAGGAAGGGCGTTCTCCCCAGGCCCGCCCCTCCCTGCACACACCTGCTGAATCATCAGTGCTGCAGGCCCTGCCTCCAAGTGTCGCTGGGTCTCTGCCCCCAGCCAGCTGGAGCCACCGTCAGCTCTTGTCTGGACAGTGGCAGCAGCCTCCTTCCGGGTGTCTCTCTCCCCCTCAAGTCCTGTCCAGTCTTTCTGATACACAAGTGGGTCTCAGCGAGGGGAGAGAGGGCCGGATTTTGTCCCCCAGGGGACATTTGGCACAGTCTGGAGACATTTTTAGTTGTTTCAACTTGGGGAAGGGGCGTATACTACTGGCAGCTAGTGGGTAGAGGTCAGGGATGCTGCAAAATACCCTAAAATTCACAGGGCAGCCCCCACAAACAGGGCAGCCCCCCCAACAAAGAATTGTTGGGTCCCAAACGTGAGTAGTGCGGCGGCTGAGAAACCCCATAATGAGACATCTGTCCCTGGCGTCTCAGGCTCACGGCCAGGATCCTAGCTCCGCATTTGAGGCCCTTCTGATCTCGCCTTTGCTCACCTCGTCCACTGTCGTCTTCCGCTGTCTCGAGCTCCAGCTGCACCAAACCGCTGCACCCACTCTCATCGGGCCTTTGCACATGCTGTGACCACTGTCTGCCTGGCACAGGCCTGCTCACACATCAGGAGCCCTTGCAGCCTCTCCTCCCGCTAGCCTGCACATGGTCGGCACACTGCGGCTCATCTCTGAAGCCCAGGGGCCCGTACTTACCATACCTAGCATTTTTCGACACTTAACTGTGTGCCTGGCACTCTTCTGAGCCTGTTTACACCTCAGAACAACCTAATGAGCTACGTACTGTCATCCTTGGTTTGCAGATGGGGTGCCTGGGGCACAGAGTGGTACAGTGACTTACCCAAGGTCCCCGGTTAGGAGGTGGCAGAATCAGAATTTGGGCTCTGGAGCCCACTCCTCACCACTGCATCTCCTGCTCTTGTGCAGGCGGGGAGGTGGGGCCTGGCTGGCAGGCTCCAGGGAGCTCTGACTCCCCTCCTGTGCCACATCCTCACTGTGCCCCAGAAAGGTGTGCGACTCTCTGTGGTGATGAGTGTTGATGTGTCAAAAGCACTTTACAGTTTGCAGAGCACTTTCTCCCAGTGCTCACTGCCTTTGGTGATCAATTTTTTTTAATTTTAATTTTATTTTATGTGATTCAAAAATGAAAATATGCAAACCCCAAAACTGAAACACGAAAACATGCAAAGTGAAAGAAGCCCAGCACAAAAGATCACATATTCTGTGATTCCATTTATATGAAATATCCAGAATAGGCACATCCATAGAGACAGGAAGTAGATTTGTGGTTGCCCAGAGCTGTGGGGTTGAGGGGCAAGGAGGAGTGACTACTAAGGGGTACAGGTGTGTTGGGGATGGTGAGAATGTTCTAAAATTGATCGTGGTGTTGGTGGCACAAACTAAAAACCACTGAATTTTACACTTTAAAGGGATAATTGTATAGTATGTGAATTACATCTCAACAAAGATGTTGGAAAAAAATGACAACACATAACATGGTATCCAGTGAAATGTCCTCCTCCCGTCTCCATCTGATCCACCTCGATCCCCCCTCCGCCAGTCTTTACTGGTTCCTCATGTTTCTTTTCAGTGTTTACTTATGCAGATACAACCAAACAGATACATATTATTTCCCCACCTTTTTTTCTTTTAACTGAAAAGAGACCATAGAATGCATACTGTTCTGTGCTTTACTTTTTCACTTCCTCTGTCTTTGAGATCTTTCCACTTCTGCACAGAGAGCTTCCTCATTCTTTTTCCATTGTGTTCCATTTTATGGATGGGCCCTTCTTTATTTAACCAGCCACCGAAATGATGGACATTTGGGTTGTTTTCAAGCTTTTGCTGTTGCAAACAGCCACAGCAGACAGCCTGGTCCGCGCCTTGTTCTGCACCATGCAGGGGTGTCGGTAAGCTCCCGAAGTGGAGCTGGGTGGTGCCAGATCGCCCTCCCGCAGGGATTCACCCGTTCACACCTGGACCGCCTGGCTGGGCGTGCCCACTGCCCCTCAGCCCTGCCCACAGACAACGCGTGTTCTCTTCTTGTGGGACTTTGGCCAGCCGTAGGTGGAAAATGGTCTTTCAGGATAATTTTAATTTGCATTTCTCTTACAAGGAGGTTGAGCATCTTTTCATATGAGTGAGCCATTTTTATATTAGTGATTTCTCTGTCTGCAAAGTGTCTGTCCGAATCCTTTACCTCCTTTCCTATGAGTCTTTGGTCTTTTTCCTACTGATGTGTAGGAGTTTGTTATCTATTAGCCATATTAACTTTTGGCCGCTGATAAAAGAACAAGTGTGTATTTCTTAGGACTTTGTTCCTCGTGTTTTTGCCGTGGAGAAGAATTCCTTTTTTGGAGGGGAGGGAGCCATTTTGTTTCTTTAATGGTTTCTGGATTTTAACTCAGGGATAAAAAGCCTTGCCGACCCCAAAGTTTAAAGGCAGTTCTCCCTTCTTTTCTTCTAATATTTTGTTGTTTTATTTTTTATTAAATGCTGAGTAGATACAAAAGAATACATATAAAATATGTTCGTGGTATGAGGCACCCTTCCCACCCAGCCAGCTGGAGGACACACCTGTCACCTTGAAGGCCCTGGTCCGCTCCTGGTCCCCTCCCCTGCTTTCCCCTCACAGAGGTAACCACTGTCTGACATTTTAGATTATTCCCGTTTGTTAGAGTTTTAGCACATGTTTACATCCCTAAACTACATACATTTTAGTGTTGCATGTTTTGAAATTGAGATGAGTGGAACTGTGCTTGTGTTCCTCTGTCTCTTCCTTCCTCTTTTTTTAAAAAATTGAGATGAAATTTACTTAACATAAAATTAACCACTTTTTTAAAGTACACGATTCAGTAGCATTTAGTACATTCACAATGCTGTGCAACCACCATCCCTATCTATTTCTAAAATATTTTCATCACCCCAAAAGAAATCCCTATACCCATTAAGCAGGCATGGCCCATTTCCCCCTTCCTCCAGCCCTTGGCAACCACCAGTCTACTTTCTGTCTCCATGGATTTACCTATTCTGGACATTTCATATACTGGAATCATGCGATATTTGTCCTTTTGTGTCTGGCTTATTCACTTCACGTGTTTTTAAGGTTCATCGATGTGGCGTCACGTATCAGTACTTCACTCTTTTTCGTGGCTGACTAAAAACCCGCTGCGTGGATAGACACGTTGTGTATCCACGCATCGGTTGATGGACATTTGGATTGTCTCCGCCTTTTGGCTCTTGTGCATGGAGCTGCTCCTTGCTCTCCTGTGCTCAGTGGTGAGATGCCGGGAGCCATCCGGCTGCTGCCTGCAGCTGTTGTCCGTTCCTCTGCACTGCCCTGTGCTGTTCCTCTGTGTCACCGTGTAGCTGTTCTGTGGGACGTTTGGTTCGTTTGTTGCTCTGTACGTTCTTGTCCTGTCCCCCTGGTGCTGGTGTTTCTGAAGGGCGTATCCTTGGGAGTGGACTTGATGGCCAAGGGTTTGTGTGTGCTCAGCTTTACCAGGTAAATGCCAACCTGGTTTCCAAAGTGGATGTGCCAACTTACACCCCATCTTTTATTTTTTTTTTTTTCATGCAAACTTTGACTCCACTTGGAAATTCTCCTGGTGTGGTGTCGGTGGTGTCTTTTCTCAGGTGGCTAGCGAGTTGTTCTGGGGACGTTTATTGCGTAGCCCCATCTTTCCCCCTGATTTGAGGTGCCAGCTTTTTCCTCTCCCAGATTCTTCCAGTGGCGTGTCCTCCCCTCAGTTTTCTGTCTTGTCTGTTGGTGTGCTGAGACCACACTGTTGTAATTACTGCAGCTACAGTCTGGCCACGAGAGGGAGATGCCCTCTCAGCCCAGCCCCCAGCCCTCCAACTCGGCCCTCCCATCATTATAGCTGGGGAAACTGAGGCAAGGCGCAGTTTGGAGTTGGGTCTTTCTTCTGACTTCTTGAGACAGGGCCTTGCCCTGCCCCATTCTCTCTTCTGCAGACCGATACCCCACTGACATCAGCTCTCTCCTGCTTGGTGGTTCCCACTCTCCAGGACAAAGTTCCCCTTACTGGTCTGGGAGCCTTTTGTGGCCCTGCCCAGTCCCCTCACGTCTGGCCTGTGGTTCTCTGAACCGTCCACTGGCCTCACTCCTCCCCCTTGCACAGGCCGCAGTGCTGGCTCTCCGCTCCTGCCTAGGCTAGGTGGGTGCTGCCCTGTCCCGAAGCCCCCTCCGCTTCCCCTGGATATGACGCGGGGCCCTCGGCCGCCTTTCCAGCCTCCCCCGAGGGGCACTGAGATGCTCAGGGCAGACACCAAGTGGGCCCCAGCCTGGGGCTGCCCGCCTGGCCAAGGGTGACCCTGGTCCCTTGCTTCCCCTGGCCCTGGCAGGTGCCAACATCGCCTCTGGTGAGGAGGTCGCCATCAAGCTCGAGTGTGTGAAAACGAAGCACCCGCAGCTGCACATCGAGAGCAAGTTCTACAAGATGATGCAGGGGGGAGGTGAGGGCCGGAGGGGCCCGGCGGGAGGGGCGGGGAGCCTGAGGGGCTCTGTGCATGCGTGCGTGCTGGGGAGGGGCGGGTCTGGGGCTGCTCTAGGGTCTGGCGGGACAGTCCCTGACAGCCCCGCTTCCCGGCCGGCAGTGGGCATCCCGTCCATCAAGTGGTGTGGGGCCGAGGGCGACTACAACGTGATGGTCATGGAGCTACTGGGGCCCAGCCTTGAGGACCTCTTCAACTTCTGCTCCCGCAAGTTCAGCCTCAAGACAGTGCTGCTCCTGGCCGACCAGATGGTGAGTCCCCCACATACCCACCCCGCCAGCCGGGGGACTGTGGGCCCTGAGGCTCGTGGCTTCCCTTCCAACCTCTGCTTCCCCATCGTGCCAGTGGGCACAGGGTACCAGCCCTGCCTGCTGCCTCTGGAGGATGCTGGAGCAGGAATCAGTGACAAGGACATAGGACAGGCTAGGTTCCTGGACCAGGACCAGGGCACTTTGACTGTCAGCTGTAGAATGGGGGAAGGGGGTTAAATGCAGATTCCCAGGCCCAACTCCAGACCTGCTGGGTTGGGCTTCCCCAATAGGGCCTGGGACTCTGCCCTCTGGGATTTTAAAGGCTCTGATCACACAGACCTGGGTCCTGTCCCAGTGTGGTGACCTTAGGTGAGCTCTCTGAGCCTCAGTCGCCTCAAGTGAGAGTCTCCCCTTTCCTGGTTGATGTGGGATCGACTGGGATGCCACGCAGTGCCCGGACCAGAGCAGGTGCCCACTGAGGAGCAATCCTGAGTTCCTAAAGCCCTGTATAAACTCAAGGAGGAAAACTTGAAAAATTTGAAAGCATAGAATTTTAGGCCTGGAATGGTACATGGAGATCTTGTTGCCCAGGGGTCTGGGTCTGTGGCTGGCCTGCAGAAAGTCTGCAGCATCCTGCAGTTTTAGGCTGTGTGTGTGCAGAGGAGGGTCTTCAGATTCTCACAGGATGTGAGATCCAAACAAGGTTTCAGAAATACTCAGCCATCCAAACGAAGCCTTCGATTTACAGAAGCCTGGGGCCCAGATTGGGAACTGACCTGCCAGAGGACATATTGTATGCATATATGTTAGTTTAAGTTTTTAACAAATGGTTTAAAGGAGGAGAAGGGCCTGTGTGTCTGCCTGACTTTGGTGTCTCTGGAAGCCAGGGGACGAATCCTGTCTTGTGTGCTCCGTCTCTATTGCACCTGCCAAGTTTAGACCTCCTTGGTGCTCCCTCCTCTCCCCTCCCCCCAAGTCTGGTTGCCAGAACAGCCTTGGAAATGCCTCTCTGACTCCAGCTCCCCAAGTCCTATGAGAGTGTAGAGCCAGGCAGACATGACATCATTTCTAGATCTTGCCTTTCTGGGCTTTATTTCTAGATCTTGCCATTAGCTTTCCTACCATGCTCTCTTTCCCTGTCTCATAGCAAACTTGGTGAACTCCTTCAGAGTTCCTCTGTAACGTCACTTCCTCCAAGAAGCTTTCCTTGACCTGCTCCTTGAAATCATCTTACATAATTGCAGGCACATCTTATGGCCCCAGCCCTCAGCCCCCAGTCCAGTGCCTGGCCCAGAGCACTTGGGAAGGCCCCTCTGTGGAGTGCTTGCTGAATGACTTGTTGTCCCCACCCCTGCCCCAGATCAGCCGCATTGAGTACATCCACTCCAAGAACTTCATACACCGGGACGTCAAGCCGGACAACTTCCTCATGGGGCTGGGGAAGAAGGGCAACCTGGTGTACATCATTGACTTCGGCCTGGCCAAGAAGTACCGGGACGCCCGCACCCACCAGCACATCCCCTACCGGGAAAACAAGAACTTGACTGGCACTGCCCGCTACGCCTCCATCAACACCCACCTGGGCATCGGTGAGGGAGCCAGGCTTGGAGCAGAGCGCACCCCCAGGCTGCTGGCCGGGACCCTGGCTTTCTGCAGCCCGGATTTATTCCCCCGACTTGCCACAAAGTCAGGTCTTCCCCTTCACAAGCAGAGTTTCAGTGTGCCGAGCCCCGTCTCAGGCCGTACTTCATCCCCACAGCAGCCTTGTAGGGCTGGGTGGGGATGGTTTCCCGTTTTTACAGGATGGGAAACACAGGCTCACAGGTGTAACACAGGTTGCTTAAGGTCGTGCAGCTTAGCAGGTGCCAAAGACAGATGTGACCCCAGCCCTGTCCGATGCCACAACTTGTGCCCTCTCCACAGGGTGGGCCAGGCAGGGAGGCACCCGGGTGCCTGCAACACAGCTGTTGAATGAATAAGTGCCTGTGCTGGAAAGACTAGGTCCAGATTGAGATGAAAAAGCCTCAGCCCCCTCCTCTGTAGAAGTGGGTAAAAACAGTGCCTGCTTGTGACCAGGTTACAGCAAGCCGGCGTGTGATAAAGGGGTGCATTGTGCTGGGTGCACAGGGCAGGTTGTTCCCCTTAGTCAGAAGCAGGTCCTGGAGGAGGGGTCCTGGCCCCCAGTGTCCAGGAGGCTGAGTGGACCCTGCCCCTCACCTTGTCCTTGACTCTGCAGAGCAAAGCCGTCGAGATGACCTGGAGAGTCTGGGCTACGTGCTCATGTACTTCAACCTGGGCTCCCTGCCCTGGCAGGGCCTCAAAGCAGCCACCAAGCGCCAGAAGTACGAGCGGATCAGCGAGAAGAAGATGTCGACACCCATCGAGGTCCTCTGCAAAGGCTACCCCTGTGAGTAGTCCAGTGGGGGGAGGTTGTTAGCCTGGGGGTCCCTGAGGCGCTTTCTGAGGGGAAGATGAGGCCACACAGAGCCCGTACTGGGCTACCACTGCCCCTGGTGCCAGAACGTTCATCACGGGCTCTCTGTTGCTGCTCCGGCATAGCTGGGAGGCCTGGCTGTTAGACACCGAGTATTAGAAAGAACTCGAGTCCTTCCTCCTCCTCCGAGTCTCCTTTACTCCTCACACAGAACACTTCACTTCTGACACTTCTGGTCACCAAATGTGTGGGGGTCCCCCCCCACTGAGCAATTCTCTGTGACACGAGCTGGGTGTCCTACAATTTAACTGAATTCTGACACTGTTTACCTAAAGATAGCCTCAGATCCCACAGGTTACGGCTCAGTCCAAGACATTGTCACCCCACTAGAGACAACAATCGCAAGTCCAGGTTGCTACCTGTGCTCTGACTGATTGCCTATAAATCAGGATCCCATGACACCCCGCCCTGGTTTGATTGATTTGCTAGAGCGGCTCACTCAGGGAAGCACTTAGGTTGACCAGTTTATTAAAGGGTATGATAAAGGATGCAGATCAACAGCCAGATGAAGAGATGAATAGGGTGAGGTCTGGGAGGGTCCCGAGTGCAGGAGCGTCTGTCCCGTCTGTCCCTGTGGAATTGGGGTGTGTCACCCTCCCCGTGTGGATATGTTCACCAGCCTAGAAGCTCTCCGAACCCGATACTATTGGGATTGTTATGGATGCTTCATCACATAGGCGTGAGCCAACATTAACTCCATTCTAGCCCCTGTCCCCCCACTAGAGAAGTGGAGGAGGGTTGAAAATGCCAAGTTTCTAATCATGGCTTGGTCTCTCTTGGGTGACCAGCCCCCGTCCAGGAGCCCACCCAGGGTTGCCTCATTAGGACAAAAGATGCTCCCAGTGTTCTTATCACTTAGAAATTTACAAGGGTTTTAGGGGTTTGTGTCAAGGATGGCATCAAAGACCAAATATTAGAACAAGAGATGCTCTTGTCACTTAGAGAGTAGCAGCTCTGTGCCAGGACTGGGGCAGAGGCCAATATATATATTTTCTGTTATCTCACAAGGGCCCTCTCCCGCCCTTACTTTTTGGAGGAGAAAATGGAAGTTTTCCTCCTGTGGCTTAGGTCATGTTGGGAGTTCCGTCAGGCTCTTGGCCTTCCTTTGGATTTATGACAGCTATTGATCTGCCATCTCCATGATCCCCAGAATGCTTGGCAGGAGCAGGTGAAGAGCTGTAAACTAGGGTCCTGCAGTGCCAGCTTACTGAAAGAGGACCCTTGCCCTTTGTTCACAGGTCTTTGGTTGTTCTTGTCAAGTCTTCAGAGGCTCTGCTCATGGGCAGGTTAGGGTTTTGTCACCATGGGGAAGACCATAGTTCTCTTCTGTCTTCATCCTGCCTCCTCTTAGATTGAAAGTGTTTGTAGGGACAGTGGGTGGGTAGGACAGCGCTGGCTGCTGGGGGCCCTGAGAACGTGGGCCTCACAGTGGCCTCTTCTGTCCCCCGTAACCCCCACCAGCTGAGTTCTCAACATACCTCAACTTCTGCCGCTCCCTGCGGTTTGACGACAAGCCCGACTACTCCTACCTGCGCCAGCTGTTCCGCAACCTCTTCCACCGGCAGGGCTTCTCCTATGACTACGTCTTCGACTGGAACATGCTCAAATTCGTGAGTCCCCTGGAGGCTGAGGCGGGCTTGGGGTACTGGACGGGGAAGGCCCTCACTCAGGAGGCCAGGGTGACTCTGTGGTCGGTGGGGCTCCCGAAAAGTGGGAGCTATGAACTGGACAGTGCAAGCGACCTCACTGGGGTCCCAGAGCCCCTGCGCTCCCTCCGCTTTGGCCTCACGAGTGTTGGTGGCATGTGCCGCTGCGGTCAGCAGGGCCCGGGCAGAGCACCGCCTCCCATCAGACCCAGGAGGACCTGGCTGGGCCTCGAGTCCTTCCTGGGCGCCTGCAGCAGGGCCTGGATGGCGCTGGCGGGCCCCGGCGCGGTCTTGATCGCTGTCTACACCATCCTGCTGTTGTTGTTCTGCACATCCCAGGCAGCCACCTTCCCTGTGGCCCCTTTCGCCAGCCTGGACCCATTCATTGTCATTTCTTTCTTCCTGGTCATGGGACCCCTGGGTCTTACTAGGCGACTGTTCTGTCTTGTTGTGAGAGTCGTGGGGGGTGGGGTGGGGAGAAGCGTGCGTCAGCTTGCCTGGAACTCCGGAACCCGTGAAATTGTGTGTCTTGTTTCACATCTCTTCTGGAAAAGGGGGCTTCCTCGAGCCAGGCTCAGCACCGAGACAGCGAAGCTATTACACTGCCCTGCCCCCGCCCCTGTCCCTGTGCTGGGCCCACGTACCCACTCACATACTGGTAAGGATCCTCCAAGGCCTGGCCTTTCCAAGATTTACCACTTGGCTGGGTGAGCACAGAAGACTAAGCCTCTGCTGTGCTATCTGTCCCTTCCAGGTGCCTGGCGCCTCTGGGCACCCAGGGCCCTCCAGATAGGCCCGTGGAGGAGGTGGAGGAGTTGCCCCCCACAAACTACTGGCCTGTGGTCTGGACTCTGGGGCCCCAGTTCTGATGTCACCAGGTGTGCCAGTGCCCGTCGGGGCCAGGCCTGAAGAGGCATCCTTGGGCATGTTGGGGGTGCAGTGGAAGAGGGCATGGCGGAGAAGGCCCTGCTGCGAAATTCATGGGGATGAATCAGCTGCCTGGGATTCTTGGGGATGCATCAGCTGCCTGATGAACAGAGCCTGAAGGAGGGATGATGGTCACTGCCCTGGAGGGGTCTGGTGGGCACGGCGCCAGAAGCAGCTTCAGCCAGACCCCATGTGTGGTCTCTGTATTGAACCTGAACTTATTAAACGCCCCTACCTGTCCTGCGCTTCATCCTGGTATGCCTCTCCTTGCGTGGCGGGTGCCCTCTGCGTGCTCTGCCAGATGAACAGGACCAAGGCCTTGTCCTCTTGGACACTGGGGTCAGCACTTGGTCTTGTGTCCCTCTTCTTTCCGGGTCTCAGATAGTGGCCTGGTACTGTTCCTTAAGGTAGCACAGAGATCAGGCAGAGAATGGGTGTTCCACAGGCCGAGGGGCCCCAGGAGTGGAGATGGGCAGTGGGACACCTCTCACCCAGACCTTCTGGCTAGGAGTGTGGCCAAGGCCGCAGGCCATCTCTTCTCGTCACAGGCCATTGCTCAGGGCATTCAGGCTCTGGACACTCGCTCATCTGGGAGGAAAGTCACCCCAGAGTGTAGTTCTTTGGTGGGTTTTGCATTGTCTAGGCCTGCGTCATCCAACATGGTAGCCACTGGCTACCTGTGGCTTAATTTTTAATTAAGTCAAATTAATCAAAGCTGAAAATGTAGTTACTCAGTCGCACTCGCCACGTTTCAAGTTCTCAGGGGCCACAAGTGCCCGGCTAGTGGCTACCATACGCAGCAAGGCAAACGGGAGCATTTCCATCATCACAGAAGGTTCTGTGGGACAGTGTTACTCTGGATGGGACTGTCCAGCCAACAAGACCTCATCTTAAGCCTGGCCAGGAGCACCCTCCGTGCTCGTTGCTGGCACTCTGACCCCTTCTTGGGGTCCCCTTTGAGGCAGGCCCTGGAGTCAGAAGCTGAGCAGAGGTGCCAATAACCCTATCCTGCACCCATCTCTGACTTGAAGGCCATCGGACTGGATAAGTGAGCATCTTTGACCTCATCACCACCATGGTGAGCTCCTCCCTCTCCAGTTGCCACCTGGCAGAAGCATCTGCAGACATGGAACGGGGACCTTCCACACTTTTACCCGAAGGCCAGGCCCCTCCCACACCATCCCTGCAGAAAGCCTTCAGCACCTACCAGCAGACTGGACCCCATGCTGGGCACCGTGGACTGCAGACTCTCCTGTGGGAAGGATCTTGCTCTTGACTGAGAGCTTCCCTCCTTGGAGTGGCCACCCCGAATTATTTGGCATCAGGACCCTGGAATCCTGGGATACCTGCGGCCTGGGACACTGCTCTCAGCACACAGAGCCACTGTGTCCCAAGGTCCAACCAGCCAGCCAAGAGGAAACTCGACACAGCCAAGGACAGGTCCACACGACACGGGTGGATGCTTCTGTGACTTTGATGTTGATCTTTTGTGTTTTCTTGTGGGCAAATAAAAGCCAAGAGGCCTCCCTGGAGTGCGTTTCTTGAGGCGTCACTTGGGTTGGATGGAAATGTGGAGAGTGGCTCACCTCCTCCTACCTCGGGTCTGGCGTCGGCCTGAACCTACTGGGGTCACAAAGTGCAGGGGCTCCAGCCCTCTGCTCGGCCGTTGGCCCCGGGGCTGCGCACCTCTGAGCGAATCACTTAACCTCCCCAAGCTGTAGCCCCAACCAGGGAATGAGTTCATACCTGCCTTGCAGGGCGAATGTGCCCCCTGCCTGCAGAGGTATGATGAGAGGGTGCTGCAGCTCTTAATGATCAGGTTTTGCTGTGCTTCTGGCTGAGTTGCTCTCTTGGCCAGTCTGTAACTGAGTGGGTGGGAGCCCCAGAGGGACCGGAGGTCGGGAGCTGGAGCCCTGCTGGTTCCAGGCCTGCCTGGACAGGCTTGTGGGTGGGAGGACTGGGGATGTGCATCCCTAAAATGTTCTGCTGAGTCTTTGGGGGATGCAGAGAACAGGCAAGACTGGGTGGTAGAGGCCTGGGTTCAGACCTCAGCTCTGCACTGAGCTGTGTGACTCCAGGCAGGTCATTAGAACTCTCTGGGCCTTGGTTCCTCACTAGGATTCAGGGATCATTCTGATCCCCAGCCACTACCTCCCAGAGGTGCTTAAAGGCAAGGGCCACCTCCATTTCCTAAGGACTGTGGGGCCTTCTTGGCCAGTTCTCTGGGACAGACACAGGGTTGCAGGAGCCTGTACCCCGTGACCCATGAGCAGGCCCCAGACTCAGCCCACAGCTCTCTCCTCCACAGATGCGGCCCCCCTCATGCCAGCCCCCCGCCCTTCCCTGTGGACGACCCCAGGACCAACTAGGTAACGCGGCGGGTGCCGTGCTCTCCTCTCTGGGCCTTTCTCCTTTCCTCCTGCACAGGGGGGTGGCAGTGGCTGGAGGCAGGGCCTCTGGGGACATATGCACCCCTTCTGCCCCAGCCTGCCTGCTGGGCCTCTTTTTCCTCCATGGGGCATCTAGCCTGTTCCTTCTGCAGCTTCCTCAAGCTCACGTCTTGTCCCAGGGCAGACAGTGTCTGTGTGGGTCCCCTGGGCCTCCTGGTTGTGGCTCCCACAGCACCTGCTATAAGCCATTGCCAGGTCCCAGGGCAGGGGAAGAACAACGTTTTGAAAAGATCCGCCAGCTGGGCCCAGGGGAGACCTGGTCAAGTCCCAGCCCACCTCCAGCTAGCTTTGTAACTCTTTCCCTGAGCCTCTGAACCTGTTTGGAAACCTTGAGGAACCGAGAGCTGCTGTATACAGAGGGGCCCAGGTTGGGAGGGCCGAGGAGCGCCCTTGGTCATCCTGGGGGCATTAGTCCTCCCATCTCTGACTTCGGCCCCATGAGACCAGGGCAGAGCGACCCGTCTCGGCCTCGCAGGTCCAGCTTCCTCCTTTCTCTGGGCGGCGTGTGGTTTTGTTTCTCTGTGCTTGTGATTGGGGGTCATTTCCAGGCCTCTTGGGCTTCCTGCTTTGTCGGGGAGAGGTTGGACCAGAGGGTTTCTGAGATGCCTCTTCCCCGAGATGCCCGCCTGATCTCCCTCCCCTGCTTTGTCCCTGGGGAGTGTTGGATTCCTCGGAAGCACCCTGACCCTGCAGGGCTGACCAGGTCTCATCTCGCCTCCCCACAGGGTGCAGCCCGGAACCCCGAGGACGTGGACCGGGAGCGGCGAGAACACGAGCGAGAGGAGAGAATGGGGCAGCTCCGGGGATCTGCGCCCCGGGCCCTGCCCCCCGGCCCGCCCACGGGGGCCGCCGCCAACCGGCTCCGCAGTGCTGCCGAGCCTGTGGCTTCCACCCCAGCCTCCCGCATCCAGCAAGCTGGTGAGCAGGGACCTTGGGCAGTGGGCCGGACCCAAGGGAGGCCGGGGCTGCCCAGGCCCGGACTCTGAGAGTGGCTTTCCCCTGCCTCACCCTCCAGGCAATACTTCTCCCAGAGCGATCTCACGGGTCGACAGAGAGAGGAAGGTGAGCATGAGGCTACACAGGGGTGCACCCGCCAACGTTTCGTCCTCCGACCTCACTGGGCGGCAAGAGGTCTCCCGGATTTCAGCCTCACAGGTGAGCCGCCCTCACTCCAGCCCTTCTCTGCCTCACGGCTGAGCCAGAGACCCCCGGGCACGGCGTCAGGCCTCGTGGTTCTGTTCTTTCCTTTCCGCTGATGCTCTCTAATAACCTTGGAGCCAGCCCCTTTTGTTGAGCAGGGACTTGGCCTCGTTCATCCTCTGTGGTCTAATTAACCCCATTGAGCAAAGTCAGGAGTAACTTGCCCCAGCAAGTGGTAGACTGGGATCCAGGCCTGCAGCCGGGGGCTCTGCCTGGGTGAGCAGCTGGGAGCTCACAGAGGAGGGGCTCACGGTCCCTGCCATCAGGAAGCCCCCCCAAGGGTTCCAGTCAGCACAGGATTGAGGGGTGGGTGGATCCTGTCCGGTGGCCCCACTTAGGGGCCATGGTTTTTGGGAAGGGAGAATCCGTGGTTGCCCAGGCTTCCCTGGGTGGAGGTGGGCGGGAGACCTGCTCTGGTTCCTTGCCTGCTGTGGAGGGAGCCTCAGCAGGGCATGCCACAAGCTGGGAGCTGGGAGTCTGGTGACTCGTGTGTGGCCTGGAGCAGCTGCTTTGCCTCTCTAGGCCTTGGTCTTATCTACAAGCAGCCACATCCTAGGGTCATTTGGACCACACACCCCTTCCCTTAGCTTGAGGGGCTGGCGGGGGCGGGTGTGGAGCTCCACAGTGGGGAGGGACTCGCCACATTGCCATTGGCAGCAGCTTATCCCCCTCCCCAACCCCTGCCTCCTCTCCCGAAGACAAGCGTGCCATTTGACCATCTCGGGAAGTGAGGAGGAACCACCATCGGACCAGTATTTGCTTAGGTGAGTTGATGACTGCTGCACCTGCAGCCCAGCCATGTCTAGAAACACCTGTGGCCCCAGGAGGAGACCAGTGTGTGTTGTGGAGGGGTGGGGGGAGTGGCAGATGGTGCCAGGGATCCCCAAAACCAGGGGTCCTCAAGGGAGTTTAAAATCTCACAGCCTGCCTGACTGAGGGCCGAGGCCTTCTCTTAGCAGGCCTGGCCTACACAGTTAATTTCTGCTGGAAAACCCTTTCTCTGCCCTTGGGCCAGTCCTCCATCCCCGCCTTTGCCTTAACATATTCTGGAAAGTGGGTTCCTAGAAAAGACTGAGCCTGGGGGGCCTATGCCCCAACATCCCCTCCCCACCTACTTTAGCCCTGTCTCAGCCTCTGGGGCTGTTAAGCACTTAATTCATGCAAAGCACTTAGAAAGGGCCGTGAACTTAGGAGTTTATCTGCTGTCAAAGGCTGCCCTGGGTTTCCTCTACAAGCCCAGGAGAGGCCCCTTGGCTAGTGTGAGCCTGATGGGACTGCAGGAGGCCTTGGGTGGAGTATAGCAGCTCTGCACTCTGCCCGGCTTGGGGAAGCGGGGCGTGGCGGGGGGGTCTTGGGGAGTAGGGGGAGGTCTGAGCTCCCTAGGGAATTTGTACATTGGCAGGTAGCACTTCACATTTCAAGGGGCTCGGCGGGCTTGGCCTCACACCGGGACATCCTGATGTGTATGATTTGCTTTGTGGAAATTCATTCCACAGATAGAGCTGGTACATAAAGTGGGGCTCACCTTTGTCAGACCTCGGGCCCAGGAACCAGCCCATCCATGGCAGGGCAGGGCAGATGTGTGGAGTGACTGCTCCCCAAGATGTCAGAGGAGGGAGAGAGATTCTGTGTCCTACCTGTGAAAATGGAGCCCCTGCCATGTGCCCCAGAGAGGGACCAGCTCAAAGACTCAGGACAAGACAGGAGCTGCAGGGGCACTGGCAGATGGGTGGCCAGAGGCAAATGAGGATCTGATCTGTCTTCTCTCTCCCTGTTTCTAGTGTCTTCACTGTATTTTCTTTTAAAAAATAACAACAACGAAGATGGGAAAAAAAACCACTCAAAAGAACAAAGAGAAAAAACCCAGCACAAAACCGACGATGGATTTTGTTTCTTTGGTTTTCTTTTTTTTTTTTTTTTTGCCGATGGTAAGAAGATGGGATGCCCTCAGCACAGAGGATTCTTGTCCCTTTGCATTTCCCATTGCCCACAACCTTTAGGCTGCCAAATGCTCCCAGACACCGTGCTCCACGTGCCAGATGCCAAGGCCCCGCCCCAGGCGGCACCGGCGCCGCCTGGGAGGGGCCCTCTCTGCGCTGGAGACGCAACCTTCCTCACTTGCCATCTGGCGGTGGCCTGAGCAGCTCGGGGAATGATTTGGGTGGTCAGAGGAATGGTTTGGTTGGTCGGAGCCAGGTCCCACCGGGTGCTCTCTTGAGCCTCAGGACCACAGGAGACAGGCACAGCCTCCGCCCCCGTGAGGTGACGGTGGCCAGCTTTCTGTGTTGGGCTTATTCCAGTGTCCCCCTGAGTTTTTGGCTCCCTCCTTTGCCTCTCCATGGAGACGTGAAGGAGTGGGTGGCGAGGTGGTGGGGGCCGAGATTCCTTGTGTGCGTGCGTGTATGTATGTATGTGACCTGTGCTTCCCAGGACAGGAGCTGCCCCGCCCTACCCGCCAGACCGAATTTCTGTTCTCATCCCCTAACAAGGACACGGAGGTGTGCAGTGACCTCCACATTCCTCAAGAAGGGTGCAGAGGGTCCTCGCCACCACCGACCCCTGAGACTGTCATCAGCCTGTGGCAGCCCCGTCCCCCTTTCCTGGTCTTAGGGCAGAATCCCTGGAGACTACTTCCAGACAGCATCTGGCCCCTGGGTTATAAATTAATCCCTGGTCCTGACGCTCACCTGGGGTCCCCTCTGCCTGCGTCCTGCCTCCCCGAGGAGGAGCCTGGACTTAGGGCTGGGCGCAGGGTTCATCCATCCCGCCTAGTTAACACTTGTTTTTACTTTATTTTTGTTTGTGTTCTCCATGTGTGTATTTCCTAATTTATTTACCTCTGTTTCCCCTTTTTTCTTTTTCTTTTTTTTAATTAAAGAGCAAAGCTTTTTATTACTTTGTAATTTAAAAAACTGAAAAAAAAATACTGAAGAACTTTGGGGGGAATTTTGTACTTTTTTCCTGTGTAAATATTGGACTTTTTTGAGCTTTATTGTGGTTGTTAATTTGAAGTAATAAAGTAGAAAAGGATAAAGTGATGTGGGCAGCCCTTGGACCCCCTCTTTGCTCTGGGGGTTTCTCCCCAGCAGACCTGAGAGCAGTAGGCTGGGGACACCTGGGCAGTGGTTGGCACCCCCCCGCCCCCGGGGGGCTGTGCTGCTGATTTAGTGCTTCAAAAACTACTTAGGAACCACCCCGGGGCCTTGTTAAAGTGCAGATTTACTCTCTTATCCACCCAAGAATGCTGAGTTAGGTCCTGTTCATCTTCCTGCCTTCTGGTGGGGAAACAGTGCAGCGGGACCATAACTTGCCCAAGGTAACACAGCTCTGGCCGCGGAACCAGGACTTGAATCCCACCATTTACCGCGGAGTCTGCGAGTGAGGGCGCTGGAGTGGGATTCTGGTGCTGATGGTGCCACAGGTGACCCCGGGCGGTTCCTTCAGTCAAGCCCTGATAAAGGGGCAGCCCTCAGCCTGGCCTGCCTTTATCTCACCAGCTTATAAAAGAATTTGTCTGTCAGTCTGCATTTAGCCAACATGGTTTACTTTCCTACTTCTCATTACCTCAAGACCCGAGAGCCACTACTGCCCCAGTCTCCACCCACAAACGAGCAAAGCCACCTGACCAATAGGTGAGCCTGGGGAGGGGCTGAGGGCTCTGAGAGGTTCCCCTGGGGTATTTTGAAGTCCTGGGCATAGCTCAAAACCCCCATAATTAGAGTCCCTTCCAGTACTGGCATTTGAAGACCCTCTGACCCCACAGCCTGGCTCAGGCCTGGTGAAGGGTCTCTTGCGTGCCCTCTGCACGAGGTTTAGGCAAAGGTAGCGTCCTTAATCACGACCATCAGGGATGGGGGTGTGTTACTCAAAGCCAGGAAATGCCAGAGGGCCCTGCCACAGGGAGACCTGCCTGGGGGACGGTGAAGATGGGGGGTTAGTCGTCACCCCCCCCCCACCATGCCCTCCTATCAGGATCTTTCAGGCAGGACATCTGACATCAAACAGTAAGCGGGAAGTTACCAACTATGGGCCTGAGGGAAAATATAAGGAGCTAATCTATTTTAAAAATCTTTACTTATATATGTTTTGCAGTGAAAATTAATTCCTAATAACACTAATATTTGCTGTATCCTATGATATATGTAAGTTTCAAAATTCCAATTTTAATATTACCACTAAAAGTATACCTATGAAGACTTTTTTTTTTTGGTGAGGAAGATTGTCCCTGAGCTAACATCTGTTGCCAATCTTCCTCTCTGCTTGAGGAAGATTGTCCCTGAGCTAACACCCGTGCCAATCTTCTACTTTGTATGTGAGATGCTGACACAGCATGGCTTGATAAGCGGTGTGTAGGTCTGCGGCCAGGATCTGAATCTGGGACCCTGGGGCCGCTGAAGCAGAGCATGCAAACTTAACCACTATGCCACTGGGCCGGCCCACAGAGTAAAGAATTTTTTTACAGTTCTTTTTTTTTTTGTCCTTAGAATATCTCACTGAAGATGCACTGTCCGAGTACAGTGCCCAGAAGTAATTTGAAATTATTCTTTATTCTGTGTGGTTATTTTATTAATTTTAATAATGAGTTAGTGCATTCCCCCTTTTTGGTTTAATTTTTTTTTGGAGATTTTACCTACATGAAGGTCAAGCTGTATAAAAAGTTAGAACATCACTCCCATCCCCACCCCCTCCACCGTGTTCCTACCCACGATCCTCACTGGTTTCGATCCTCACTGGTTTCGGGTTTATCCTTCCTGTGTTTCTCATTCAGGGAGCTAATGTATATACGAGGGGGTGGTGGCTGACAGCCTATGAGGAAGTAACATGTAAGCTGAGGCCAGAGGGGTGACCAGGATTCGTCAACCATGCAGTTTATTTTTATTATGTATGCCAAACAATTGCCCAGAAACTCTGCCCAGACTGGAGGGGCAAACATGCCCCTTGGTGAATCACTTTCATTCCTGCAATGAACATTGACTGGGCGTGTGTGGGTGCAGGGGCACCAGGTGCAGGGCTGAGGTGGGGTGGAGTGTAGGGGTGACGGGTGAGGAGTACAGGGTTGGAGTCCAGAGGGTCGACTTGGCCCCTCTTGACCTTGAGCATTACCTGGTTCTCGGTTTTCTCCTCTGTAAAGTGGGAGTGATCATACGTGCGTCAGAGAGTTTGTAGGATTAAATAAAACCACAGATGAACACGAGGGCTGAGTGACGTGAGGGCTCGCTGTGCTGGGCCCTGTTCCAGCCCTTTGCTCATAACAATCCTGTGAGCATGGTGTGTTATGATGCCCACTTTATGGATGAGGACACTGAGGCACAGGGAAGACTGCCTGGCTCCACAGCACGTGCTCTTAACCTTCACTATGGCCAGGCACCTTGTAAGCGCTGAGTAGTGGTAACTACACAGCCTAGTGGGGGGAAAGATGCAGACTAGCAAACGGCTCATTCCAATCCAGAACCCAGTGTGAGATGCCCAGTGTGAATGAGGGACAAAGGAGGGAGGGAATGTGTCTGGTGCCATCAAGGAATGTGTTTCAAAGATACTTGACCTGAGCCTTGAAATGTGAGTAGGAGTTGGCTGGTGGACAAGGTGGGGGCAGGTCATTCCCGGCAGAGTTTAGAAACAGCATGCGCAAAGTCCCAGATTTATGATAGTTTGGTATACTCAGAGAGTTCCAAGCACAGAGCGGGAGGGAGGAGATACACAGCAGCTGAGGCTGGAGGAGGCAGAGGCCAGATCCTGCAGAAGAGGGGATGAATCCAGAATGCTCCTCCACTCCCTACCTGCAAGCAGCTCATCCTTCTTGAGCCCTGGTTTCCTCATCTGTAAAATGGGAATAACCATGCTACAGAAGCTGTTGTTCCCCCTCAGCCTGACAACTTCAGTGCCCACTCTCCTGACTTCCATCCAGGACCTGCTGTGTGGGGAACCACTGATTAGGGGAGATGGCATAATGGATGTGAACCTGAGGAATGCGAGTCTGGCAACAGTGAGCAGGGAGATTGGAGTGAGGAGAAAGGAGGCAGAGAAGAGTTAGGGAGCTATGGACCCAACCCAGGCAGGAAGACTTCAGAAGGCGAGGATGACTGAACCCGTTTCAGAACACAGTCTATTAGCCCACTGAGAGAGAGGGAGGTGTCAGGAGGCTCTGAGCTTAGCAGCCCAGGCGCCTGGGAGCTCAGCAGGACCGCAGATAGAAAGCTAACATGGGGGTTGGGGCCGGCCCCGTGGCTTAGCGGTTAAGCGCGCGCTCTGCTGCTGGCGGCCCGGGTTCCGATCCCGGGCGCGCACCGACGCACCCCTTCTCCGGCCCTGCTGAGGCTGCATCCCACACACAGCAACTAGAAGGATGTGCAACTATGACAGACAACTATCTACTGGGGCTTTGGGGGAAAAATAAATAAATAAAATTATTAAAAAAAAAAAAGAAAGCTAACGTGGGGGAGAGGTGCACTCAGCACCAAATCAAGAAGCGGCAGCAAGCACCGGAGGGGCAGAGCTGAGAGGACAGGGTATCGGGAGGAGCGGGGCATCAGGAAGGAGGGCATGGTCGGCGCGCTCAAAGCAATGGAGGCCTGGAAAGGGTGAGGCTGGCAAAACACGAGTCCCTGCTGACCACGTCCCCCTAGTGCCTTTTTTTTTTTTTTAAATTGAGGTGTAATTTATGTACAGACATACATCTTACGTTATGTACAGACACATGTTAAATGTACAAATCCATAGCTTTTTGCCTGTTTCTATGTTCCATACCTGTGTATCATGAACTGATGAAGATGTAGGCGACTGTCAATACTCCAGCAAGTTCTCTCATGCCCCTTGCCGTGCAATATCACCACCCCCCATACACACAGGACCCCGCTCCTAAAGTCTCTCAACAGGTGACCTTCTGACTCTGGGGGAGAAGAGTCAGAGCAGGAGGTGAGAAGGGAGGGAGCCGGCACAAGATATTGACAGGCAGAGGAAGGAGGGCCTAAGAGGAGGCACTTCAGTGGGGTCGACAGGCAGGAGGAGGTGGTTCTGAGGGTCGAAGAGGCGCAAGTGTTTTGAGGTCAAAGAACCCTCGAGGAGGGGGATTTAAGGCTGGATGGCAGAAGGTTTGGAGGAGTTGAGGGGGGACCGTCAGAGAACTTGGTCTGGGACCAAAGGAGGGGCTGGGCTTCCTCTGAACTTGGTTCAGTCACTTCCTCTGTGCTTCTCATCACCTGCAAAAATCCAAGTCCCTCATGTCACCACACTGCTCCCTCCTAGGCAGTGGCATCCCCTCTCCATTCCTACCTACATTTTGATGCACACCCTCCAACCCAGGGCTTCCCATACGGGAGTGGATCAGATAGACCCCCGTGGCCAGCTCCCATGGGGGCTGCTCCAGCATAGCTTCAGCCAAGGGGAAAGCCTTGTATTCCCATATTCTCTCTCTCCCTCTTCCCCCCATCCATGCTCTATTTCAGAAACAGATATGGGAACAGTTATAGCTAAGCATGCTGAGCCCCACATCACGTCCTCTCTCCCGAGCCCCACAGGCACATGTCTAATCATTCAGAGGAGTAAACACATTCCAAGCTCCAACCTCCAGCTGCCCAATCCCCAGACATCTATGACTCTCACTCAAGCCACACTGGCCACTCTGGGGACCATTTCCCTGCCTGCACGTGGGATGGTGAGGGGGAAAGGGGCTGGTGTGCAGGATAAATATTGCCACGGTGACCCCAAGCCACCTTCTTCTCCATTTTCTCTGGCCTGCTCCCTGCCACCTCTTCTATCACCCTAGCTTTGAGGCACCAATAGCATCTTCCTATCCTCTCAACTGCCCCCTGTGAGGCCATGTCCCATAGCCTCTTGAGGTTCAGGAAGCTGCACATCAGGGGCTTGGCTTCACTGAGCCTGCGCTGCCCATGCAGGAGAGGCTGATGGATGGGAGAGCAGTCCAACTACTTGCTGGGGTGAGGGGAGCAGAGGGCTCAGCCCTGGGGCGCTGCCCCTTTAAGGAAGCCCCACTGGGTACCCCCAAAACAGATACCTGCAGACAGTAACTCAGGCTCCTGCA